TTTAACAATTTGTTCTCTGGTCTACCTTCCCTTATCAAATCACATTCACTCATTCCTTTCTTAACCTGTAACCCGGCACAGTAAAGTGGCTTCTAAATTTAGCATTTAAATACTTGCATGACTCCAACTCAAACTTCCAGTTTCAGAACCAAGCACTGAAACTCAGCTCTATTCACTCAGCTCTATTCAGCTCTATTCATGCATGAACTTAAAGGCCCAGACCCGAGGGAAAATGCATACAACTGAGGTAAAGAAGTTCCAGGCATAGGACATTTCTGATCTGTATCTCTGTTCTGTTTCTTTGAGACTTGTTTTATGGTCTAGAACTCATAACAGAGTTTGGGTTTATAACTTTATAACTTTTGTTAACTTTTATAACTTTTGTTATATGGCTATGTGACTGTATGTCTGACACTATTTAAAAACTAATGTCTAGGTAAGAAAACAATGAGATGGGCTGCTTAATAGTTGTTTCTTTCCTATTTTAATCTCTGATTATTTTCTTCTTATTTTCTTCTCTGATTCTTATTTTTTTCTCTTCTTACCATTCTCTTCTTCACAGGTGAACTTACATACAAATCTAAATCTAAATCCTGTGTCAGGATTTATGTCATTAAGAAGTCTGTGAGTTACCCTGAAAATACAGAAGTCTCACAACAACTAGCTTTTCACTGGTCAAATACTAAAATGTTCAGCTTCCTTCTTTTGGCCATATAAACGAAAACTAAGTGCTGTGATATCAAATTAGGCAAGTATCTACCTCACACCTGAGCTTGTTTGGACTTCACAAAATATGAATTTACTCACTCATTTCAGCAGTCATATCCAAGAAAATAATTGTGTTTAAATCATGAAATGTTTTTACCCATATGTTTAATCTCAGATGCAGGTTGCCTTTTTAAACCTTTCTTTTTTTAAATACAAAATTCAATAATCCTATTCTATGGAACAAATGAAACAGTACAATTAAAGTGAGCATCTTAACTGATTTAAGACATCTGTTAAGAATCTGAAATCTTCCTGTAAGTTCGTTCTCAGGAAACTACTACCCATTCATGGATGACATGGCCAAGCTATATAATAGAGGAGCATTGACTGGTTTCTTGTAAACAATTATGAAATTTCATATGTATCATATATTTTCCTAGGTTCTTAATAGCTTTGTACTGTAATGCAGGATTTTAAAAATACCTGAGTTTCCTTTCTTGAGTCAGGTACAGCAGCATGGAATTTTCTATATCATATTTTCAAAAGTCTGTGGATCAACCCCTTAACTATATTTATGTAATAAATTACAAACATTTTTGCCCTCATGTATCATTCCATATTATCTAAATAGCTAACTACCACTAACATAATGAGAGTTTGTTGCAAATGACTTCTTAAAAAGTCTAGTAAAAATTTTTTTTGATGGAAGAATAGATTTTCAAATCTGCTCCAATTTTATTTAAAAAATGAGTTCTCACTGATTTTAATGAGATTAAGAAATGGTAGTTCTTCCCTTATGCAGGATGATTGTATTTATTTATTAAAAAAGAAAATTATTCATATAGAACAACTTCTCCAGTACCTTGTTTCTGATCTTCTATTTTTGCTCTAAGGAAAAGAAGCTTTACTCCAAAATGAGGAAAAGTAAACATTGTCACTCATATCTCTGAACAATCAGAGAAAAATATTTTAATAGCAAAAAAAGAATTTCCATTTTAGGAAATAAAAAGTGAAGGTGAGTAAATAAATCTATACTGAATGTTTTCTTCATTTGATTATGCTGCCAAATATATTTATTAAAAGAGGTTGCTAAAAACTGCAAAATTGTTATAATTTATAATACTGTTCAAGCATCTGTTGTAAATAGCAGAACTTCAGCCTGGGATTGATGATTTTCTTGTCTAATAAGATCTAGTATATTATCACCTTTGAGTATCTTTCACTGTCAATTTTTAGATTCTCTTGAGTTTTACTCCCTCCTCTCATTTCTGATGCAATTTCTTATCAGACACTCAAGCAGTCTCCTTTCCTCTCTCCTTCCCTCTCCTCATTCCCTTGTTGCTCTTCAGCTTTAGGTCGGTCACAAACACTTTGATGATATAATCTTCCTTCTGTATTCTCTGATAAAAACTGTTTCTCTTGTGTGCATTTCATTTTCTAATGTAGTACAGTGATGTTCTAATTTCTGTAACATGCTTTGGCAGTTTAAGTTCATCTGTTTGAGTTGACTAGAAACTATTAAATACATCAAGCGTTTCAGAGCTAGCTATTGTGAGATATGATATTATCTGCTGAGTTTTATTATTTTGTTGCACATACCCGCTTCAGACATGGAATAAACTGCTGTTTAAATCTTCTCCATGTATTTTTTATGCTACCATAATGCTCTGTCCTTTGAGCTTTTTCATTATTTTCTTCATTTTTCCATTTAGGATTTATAAAAATAAGTAGTCATTCTGTTATTGCCTCATGATTGTTGAGAATATGCTATATCAGCAGGAGTGTAGTAATGGGATAAGATGCATTCTATTACACCTCTTCAGCCTTGTCTGCTTTGTAACCACACTGACAGGCTCTGCTAATGCATCACCTTGTTCATTGGTATTATTTTCCAGACCTGGGAGAAGGATCACTTACCAAGACTTATTCCACAATGCCAGAAAACCACCTCCTAGTTGGTCAAAGAGGAGTCAGTTCAGGGGAAATAAGTCAACTCGTTGCAATCGGGCATTCAGTCTCATTTTTCAGATCATCTACAATCTTACTGATATTTTCAGAGTTTTAAAAATATATGGTTTGGATTCTCCAGTGCCAATTTAAGATCCAGCTAAGAGACAGAGTCTGTCTATGCTTATTTAACTTCTAAGACAGAGCTATGGACAGCAACCTAGTCTATGATAACTGTACTTTTTTATCTGATTGTCTTTCATTGAGGTAGAACAGCCTCCTCTTTCTCCTAGATAAAAATACTGTGTTAAGCTGTCCATTTACTTTTTGGCTAATGTTGCCTACCCTGCCAGTCCTTCCCTATCCATGGATATGTAGGATTACTGGAATTTCAGCTAGCTTCTGTTTTCCTGCCACGATGATCAAGTATTCTGGTTGCCTCATTGCAAGCTGGAGTGCATTCAGCAGCTGATTCAATATCAGTGTCACACAAGCTGGGAGAGGATGCCTGCGAAGACCTTTTTCACATGGGATAGCTGACTGTAAATGTGGCCCTTTCTGCACTGGTAGTGACCCTGAGACACAGGATGGGAGAGAAAATCATCTGCTTTTACACATTTTTAACATCCACCCTTTACACCTATATACACTGCTTCTTCATTCACCAGTGAACTTAGGCCTTTTTCATTCCCATGACACAATATTTAATTCCTCCTCTTTTCACCAAATCTAGTTTCTATGAGGCAGATAACAATAAAGAATTATCACATCTCAGGTCTCTGGGTCTGTAATGCTTAGAAAAAGACCTCTTTTAAATCTACCATTGTAAAAGAAATTGTAATTCTAACTTGCGGATCTCTCTCATGACATTTTCTCTCCAAAGGTGCTTTCTTGATGCTATCTGCATTATCTGCACACTATCCTTCCTGCAGCTGGGTAAAATTCTATAGACATGAAGTGTCAAGGGCTTCAGAAACTTCTACATATTTATGCCTTAATTTTTTTAACAAAATTTTTTTAAACAAAAGCTTTCAAAATGCCTAAACTAAGTTATATTTCATAGAATAGTGGTGTGGTTTGGGTTAGAAGGGACCTTAAGGATCATTTAGTTCCAAGTCCCCTGCCATGGACAGGTACACCTTCCACTAGACCAGGTTGTTTAAAGCTCACTTCAACCTGGCCTTGCATGCTTCCACCGATGGGGCATCCACAATTTGGCTGGACAACCCATTCTGCTGCCTCACCACTCACATAACAAACAAGTTCTTCCTCATACCTAATAATAACATAGCTAAGAAGTCTAATTGGATAAAAATATCTTTTCTTCCAGTTTAAGGCCATTACCCCCTATCTTATCAAAACAGCCCCTCTTAAGCTCTCTTCTAGGTGTTGGAAGGCTGGTCTCAGGTTTCCCCAGAACCCTCTCTTCTCCAGGCTAAACAAACCCATCTCTCTCAGCCTGTCTTCATAGGAAAGATGTTTCAGCCCTCCGATCATCTTCATGGCCTCCTCTGGTCTAGCTTCAACAGGTCCATGTCCTTCTGTTGGGAGCCCCAGAGCCAAACACAATATTTCAGGTAGAGTCCCACCAGAAAAGAATAGAGGGGCAGAATGACCTTCATCCACCTGCTGGCCATGCTGCTTTTGATGCAGCCCAGGATATGATTGGCTTTCTGGGCTCCAAGTGCACATTGCCAGGACGCACTTAGCTTCTTGACCACCAACTTTACTAAGCCTTTCTCCTCTGGGCTACTCTCAATGCATTCTCCATCCAGCCCATATTTGTGCTTGGGATTTCCATGATGCAGGTGCAGGACCTTGCATTTGGCCTCGTTGAACTTGATGAGGTTCACAAGGGTCCACCTCTCAAGCCTGTCAAGGTCCCTCTCAACGACATCCCTTCCTCCACTGTGTCAACTGCACCACACAGCTTGGTGTCATCAGTAAACTTGTTTAATCCACTGCCTCTGTTGCCAGCAAGAATTGCTTACAAAAATATGCAAAAGATATTAATTGCTTGTGGTGGTTTGAAGCTGGTTCCCTACCAAGTCTCCAAACCTCACCACAAGAGCTCCCCCCGCCCCCAAAACCAAGGGAAAGGAAAAAAAACTTAAGGAAAAAAAAACCAAGAGAACCGAAGAGAGAGAGAGGCAGCTAAAGCAATATATATATAAATATATTTACACTTATATTACATTTATAACAAGTGAAATATATGTACAATTTCAAAAGGAAAAGGGAAAGGGGAGGGGGAAGGAAAAAAAAAGAACAAAACCAAAATAAAATATACACGATCGACAGCCCAAGATCTAGCAACTAAAAGAATTAGCAAAAGAATATCTTACTATTCTCCTTGGGACAACGGAAAGTCACGCTGGAACGATCGCCGGCAACCTCCGTCTCTCAAGGTGGGCCAGGCCTTACCAGGCCTCACTCCCCAACACGGCAGACTCAACAGCAGGGAACCTGCACCTCCAAAGCCACCGGAAGGCAAGAGGAGCAAAGGCCTCTACTCCTTTCTTCTTACACCCTGACTTACGTAAAAATCGTAGGGAATACCGGGTAGTCTGGCCACTTCCTTGGTTACAAACTGGTCACCAGGGAAGGCCCAGACTAAACTACCACATTGCTTAAGCAGACCTATATACACACTGTTCTCTTTCACTGCTACACATTATAACATTTCAGTGAAATTATAATGAGGTTGCCTTCTATGAAGTCTCAGCCTGAGAACAGGGGTGCTGCTTGGATCCTGATGCAGTGACTCATATAAAACCCTACTTTGGACAATTCTAGTATTCACTTTATTACAAAATACTAAATTAAATGTGAATAACAATGAACGAACAGCATATTATAGTCACTTTTCTTTAGTTCTTATATATATATCTAGAGTAACTGTGGTGAAAAGCTTTACTGACTTATTATATGTTAATGAAAATTATTAGACTTTATAGCAGTGGGAAGGATACTAGATCTTGTGAAGGTTAAACATTTTGAGTGGTTCAGCCCTATAGCTCATGCCATTTGAGTTTCTTTCCTCTTAAAGCATTCATTTTATGAGGTTGTTAATTTTGATTTTTTTTTAATTATGATGTGTGATTTATCATCTGTTAGTCTGGAAAGTGAAATTCAGCAAGTAAGGTCATCATTCAAGCAAATTGCCCTTTGACCTTCACCTTTCCTTTCTGCTATGATGCAATGACGGTTAAATTTTTCTTTTGTCAAATATTTGCATTTGGGTGAAAAATGTGTTCTTTTTTTTATCCACAGAGGAGGTATATTTTTTGCTATAAATGTAAAATGTAGTTTCAAGGTTATAATTCTTTGGTTTCTCCTTTGTCTTTCAGCATTCCTTTGTGAATGGCATTGTGAATTACACTGGCTCATATCATCATTTTCCTCAGAGGCACCCCCCCAAAAAAACCTCAAAACCAAAACCAACCAACCAACCAAAAAACACTAAAAAAACCCAAGCAGACTGGAGGAAAATCTCCATGTGGATGACCTTGCACATTTTATAGATAACAGCCCCTCTGGGGCTGCAGAGTTCAGAGGCATATTTCAAACTGTAGGAATCCTAGAGAGCTTGAAGTTAAAAAAAAAAAAAAGAAAAAAAAAAGAAGAAGGAAAAAGAAGACAACTCTCATCTACTATGAGCATTCAACTGTGAAATAATTACTCCACTGACCTTGTTTTACCACTGACATCCATGAGAGCAGAGATTAATAAAGGTTGAGTGCTTCTGCAAATCTCACCTTTAGTGTCAGTAAGAAAACCTGCCCATTCCAAATTCTTACTTTAGCTGATACTTTAAGGAATTACCATGAAGACCTATGATAGCCCCTCCAAGGTTGGAGGGGCACGGAAGGGAGAACAGAAGAGAAAATATAAGGAGACATAAGTTATCTTTCCTTCCCTGCACCTACGCAAAAAGTTCCTCAGTCAAAATGTCCATTCTGCTTGTAATAGTTAATCAAGTCTTTAACTTTATGTCTGAATATTATTTATGATTATTAATTCTATTTCAAACTGGGTTTAATTTCTAAATTAAAGCATCACACTAACAAAGAAAGCGGTGATGGATTTTGCTGACAGTAGTACAATGACTAAAAGAATTTATCTTTATATTACCACTTTAATAATGAATTGCACAAAACTTCTGAATACATAGTGGATGTGCCAGAGGCTTCATGTAGCAAAAGTGATCACTCTGAAGACAAAGGGTAAGACTGTCTCCAGCCAAATGAAAGTGTGGCTTTATCTTGTACCCACATGAACATAACTCTTGCTGAGAATAGTTATAAACTTACTAGAAGAATCTGGAAAAAGAAGGTAACAAAACTTCTCCTTTTCCATACCAAATGGAAAGCTGTAGTTGAGCAAATAGAACATGCTAATGTCTAGAAAATTTCAAACAGTTTGCAAACACTTTGAATTTTCTTCATGAAGCATTTCAAATACAAATAAAAGACATTTCTATGCAAGCAGGAATTTCCTACTGCATACTGGGGAAGTAATCTTCTTATGAATTTTGGGTGGGATTAAGAGCAAGAACTAGGGTTGTGAAACTCCTAGTGAAGAAATGGAAGTCAAAGATAACATGAATTGGACCCATACAGGCAGGCATCATTTATGTTAAACATAAAGCCCATGATGTGTTAAAGTTGTGCTACCTACTTATGTTTCTACAAGTTAAATTTCTTTGTAAAGGTATAATTTAACAGGACATCATCTTTAATAGGTCTTCTATGAGTTTTCATAACAAAATTTATGAGGCTAATATTAGAACAGAATTAAGAGACCTTTGTATGGATTTTAGTTTATTTTCCTTACAGTACAGCATTCTAGAGTGGAACATTTTGGCCCACTATTCTTTTACACCATGTAATAAGGCAGAAATATTTACACAAAGCAATATTATACTAAGTTAATGACCCTTAATTAAGCAGAAATAATGTCTTAATTATTTTCATGTTTTTTTCAATGTGTAATCAGAAAAAATCTTTATAATAAATATTTGTCATATTCTGGTTAGTAATATTTTATATAAATAAAACCAAAATTCATTAAAGAAAAGCTGGTTCTGTGTTTTCTCTTATTAATCTAACCTGATCCACAGAGTCAAAAACCAAGAAATATATATGTTTAAGCAAAACAGTTATATGTTTTCTAGGATATAAACCTTGCTTTTCAAATTGGTCCATATTAAAATAATCTGGAAGTTTAATTCTTCTAGGGACCAAGGAAAAAGAATCTTACTTATAAAGTCACATTTCCGATCTTCTGTAAGTCTGTCTCAAGAGTTAGTTTTGTGTTTATTCCTCCTTCCCTTGGTCAGAATGAGCATTTAGTGATATGAAATATAGCACTACACTCGAAATATGACATACGTGCAGGGGGGACATTGTTCAATGGACTCATTTTTATATACTGTCGTGAAGGGCTAGCTAGCACTATGGAGCGTCTTTAGGATGGTCCATTCTCTATATTGGCTTCCCTCTCTCACTTTTATGAAATAGTTGTGTTGCCCACACTCATAAATTAATTGTCTTTGTTTTTCTGGTTTCATTTATTCATTCAATGGTTTGAAAGTCTCCAAAGATACTGTAATATCTTTTCTCAAAGAGTGTCAACACTTCTAAATACCATTTCACAAGACATGCTTTTTGGTCTCTGACAAGAATATATAGCAGTTTTTAATCTACACATTAGGAGTTTCTTTTCTTAATTCTTGTTGTTTTTTTTTTTTCTTAATTCGCAGTCTGTTCTTTACTTTACATAGCCTCTGTAGACTGTTTCGATTCTATTCCCTCAACCATGTTATTTATTTCTGCAGATATCATTTCAATCCTATCTTTTCTGCAGGTCACTGGCTGTGGCAGCTTATCATTTCTGGCATGAATTCGTTTGCATGTTTCTAATAGAGTGCTCGTCTTCTGCAAATTTCAGTAGAGGGTCTTCTAAAAATGGAGATCTCAGAAATGACGATTCTGGTTCTGAAGTGTTGGTTTGGTTTGAAAGTACTAGTTTTCTTCAGTTTTGATTGGTATTTCAGCATGGTTCACTCTGAACACACTATCAGTGAACCAGCAAATTGTATTTTTGCAGCAACCAAAGCACAGTAAGTACTGCGTGAGACAGGTATGTCCACAATGGACAGATTTGATCCTTTTTTTTTTTGGTGCAGAGCAATAGTAGGGTGTGTTCAAGTGAAAAAAAAAGGAATTCCAACAATAAGACCATAAACTATTACTACCTCAGATCTCTATATCCTGTTTGATATGTTGTGGGGATTATGTTCATGTGTAGCTAGAGTGGTACTTTGCTTGTGAACATACACACAGAAACACATTAATACTTCTCATCTATTCTTATCTGTTTCCTATGCACATAGATATTTGCATATGTGAATCTAAATGCGTAAAAATTACACAATGTATTTCATGCATATTAGTTGTGCTGATTAAAAAAAAAAAATCTGAGTATCATTCTGAATATAAGAGGAACTGGAAGCATTTGCCCAAGGTAGATGCAGTATGTCCATCAGCTAATTGATGATACGTTGTGAAGGCAGCAGTTCCTGCATTTGCTGAGTTATAATTTACTGTCAGTGTTTTGTTTCTGTTAAAAGCAATGTTTCTTCAGCATACTTTCTGCATGAACTTCAAAGAAAAGGGAGATGCTAATTTGAGGAATGACAAGCTGCCATTCAGTTGATCGCTGATATTGTGGTCTGTATGATGCTATGACTTCCTAATTCCTGCTGAGTTCAAAACCCAGGGGAACTTCAGCTCACTGCCTATCATAGAAGCAAGGTGCCAAGCTTGCTCGTTCATTTAACATTGGTGTCTCTTGTTCAGTGAAAACTGTAATCAAAGGATTCCCATACAGGGGAGATACACCTTCTCAGTTACTGCTTCTCTGTGGTCAGCTGTTTCTGCATAGGAAGCAATTCCCCATTCTTGTGAAATTCCTGTAGGTTCTATTGAATACATTTGCTTACACTAACTAGGTTTTTACTACAGAACTACTACACCTGTTCTTGCTTTATGGTGAACTTGCCACTGGCTCTTGCTTTATGGTGAACTTGCCACTGGCTGCCGCATGAGAGGAGCCCCGAAGAAAAGATACAAGGACTCCCTGAAACATCTCAGCCTTGGCCATATTGATCACCATAACTGGTCTACTCTGGCCTCCAATCAGGAGGCCTGGAGACACACCATCTATAACGCAGCTGTCTCCTTTGAGAACACACGCAGGATCACTCTCGAGGAGAAAAGGCAACGCAGAAAGAACCGTGTCTTGCAGAATATACCACCTAAGGAGTCTTTCTGTTGTGCCTTTTGCAATCGGATTTGTTTGTCACGTATTGGCCTCATAAGCCACCAGCGT